TAATGGCTTAGCTATTATTAAGTAGTACTAGGTAATACTTAAGGAGAGTACTCAAGAATAAGCCGCACATAGCCGTTAATCAACTACAAATCAAAAAGATATTCCTAGTTTGAAGGATACTGTATCCAGTGGTGTAAACTTGCCACAAAGTCTCTAATTTATTGATTTTTCCTAGTATTAGATAATTTTGGAGAGTGCCACCAGCATTTGTTTATGTTGACAAACTTGTTAATTTGGAAACCCAGAAAGAGTATAGTATGGAACGCCATGCAAATATGTTAATATGGAACGCCATTGGTGCAAAAATTTTTTTTTTTTTTTTTAAGAGTTGTCACTGATTAAGACAAAATTTATGAACTGGAATCCAGTCTACCAGGGGCAGTGCAAACAGGAATCCGTTGGCAAACCCTGGACCTACATCACAGAAGATTATCATTTAGTCAAGAGAACACTGCTTTGAATTCATTCTTAGAGTCTAAACATCAAGGTTCATCGGAAATCTTAATATTTGCTCTGTCGGGAATCTTAGACCTTTTGTTAAGAACTCGCTTACAGTGCTGCCACTACTTAAGTTTGTCAGACTCAAAAGTATTAGACAACTTGCAATCACTAGTGTTTACACTATTAAATCTAATTCCATGAAGAATACAACGTGATGACACTCATGCAACAGATTGTTTTTAATGACGATCCATTTAGACTGCCACCGACAATCAGCAGACAGCGTCACGTCGTCTAGTGCTCACATGGAGCGGAGTTCTATTCTTTCGTGTGACGGTCGTATGGCCGTTGTGCAAAGCAAGTGCCAGGCTTAACAGACAATGCAAAAAAAATATTACACCGAAAATTTTCCTAAATTTACCATACAAAAGAAAGCTGCTTTTTAGGAGTTTTGAACTCCTGGGAGGTATTGTGAGGATAGGTTATTGAAGTAATTAATAAATACCTGCATACAAAATACCAACACCAACTCACAACTTGTATAAATGATTGTATGCTCTGATAAGAACCAGGAAATTATGTCAAACAAACAAAAGTCCATGTTATGATGACTTTTCATGTATTTCTATGGTTACCAGAATCTAGCAATTGTTACTAAAAATGTATTTTCCTTTACTTTTATTGTTGTTTGACCTAATTTGACCTAAAGTTTTGGGGAAAGTTAGCAAACTTTTATAAATTATTTATTTCCATGGTAACCAGATAAACAACTAGACAGGCTATAATAAATACATTCAACCATTAAATTTACTTTGTGATTGAACCTTTGTAAAGGAAATTATGAATGGAACAGAAAACTAAGTTAACAATACATTTCCATGGTAACTGGATAAATAACTCAATAACTTGCTGTAAAGATACTGTTAAAGGCAAGACTTTTTTTATACCTTGTATGGCCAACCCACTGTCCACCAATAATGATTTCAAATAAAAATAAAATTAGCCCACCAGCTGCCACAAAAAATGGAGATTTCAAAAATATAATTTTTTCTTTATTTTCATTACTTGAAATCTCCAAAAATAAGATATGTATATTTTTTCCTAATTACCGGTATATAAATTAAAAGCATTTAACAATCCCATTGCTACACTGTTCACATTCGCCAATAAAATTTGTTTTTCTCCTCCGTCTTGATGTTTTTGGCGAACTTATTTGCTAAATAAGAAAATTTTTATTTTTATTTTTTTTCACCCTCCTCTGACAACAATTTTTAAAATAGGTTTGAGAAACAAGGTACTGTATGATAAAAGTCTTGTCTGAGCCTGTAAGCCTAACTACAAAGAATGAGCAAATGAATTAAAACAATATAAATATTGCATTGGATAATTATTTTGTGTACAGTATATACACAGGCCTATTTACACATTAAGACGAAGTGAAGTAAACTTCAAAAAGATATACCGTAATACTGGAAGCCTTGTTTACACTGTAGGTGTTGGGAAAAAGTAATAGCTGGGCATATTATTTTCAATTTGTAAAAAATGCTCTTTGTTCATTAGTGAAATTGAAAAATGAGTATTTAGTCACTGAGCAGTAAAAGACACAGGATATCAAGTAAACAAGAAATATTTACCCGTTATTTAGAAAGTAAACCAAGTCGCTCATGGTGTAATTAATGCCAACACGAGTCTGTTATTAATTATATTGCATACTGCTAGTGACAACAATGTTTGCAGTTAATGAGGTTTGTATTCTTAGTGTATAGAGTTTGTTTGAATGAAATTAATTTTCAACACGTAGTAGTTTAATATAGTTGAAAGGCTGTAATTCAAGGCTTTAATTAAAACACACTTTTTTTCTGTCAAGTCATGACAACCAACTTACTTGGTTATTTATCTCGATCATTGATTGAAATCAATAGGTTACAATTCAATATGTGACTCATGGACTTGCATTTTCGTATCACTGATTAAGTCACTTGTTGATCAGGTTTTGTAAAACAGTTACAGTATTAGATCAATATCCTAACTTTGCAATCTATACTGGAAAAGCATGTTTATTAATTTTTGCTTCTTATTCTGTATCAAGATATGTGCTAATTACATCTTAAATTTAGACTAATATATAATCTAACTTCGGAATCTATATGCCAAAAAGGAATGTACTTAGTCTTCTTTGTTTCACAAAAAAGACTAAGTACAAACTACTACAGTAATCAATGAATTCTCAAGCCAAGTCTATGTGGTTGACCACCAACTGACATTGGACAATCAATCATGAAGGACATAACACCATTCTGGTTTAGGAAAGGGATGTCTGAGAACATACTACATCTAATGCTACTTCAACAAAACATAAATTAAAAGATTAATAAAACAAAATGTGTACAATGTATTTCAATACATCATTAAACTTTGATGCATCAGCCTACTGTACCTTAATAATGGTATATTGTCACTTAAAAACTCAGGAAAGAAGCATAACAAAATTAAATAGAACGTTAATTGCTTATTGAAAAGAACCACATGTCATCAAAATTCAGTAAGTCATAGATTAAGAAGAAAATAAAATTCAGTTTTCAGAGATTTAAACTACAGCCATTTTACTACAAAAAAGTCCCTAAATCCTTTTTAAAAAGTGTATTGCCAAGATAGGAACGGTAAATATTTCAATGCCTGTTACTATTTCTGGCTCTCATTTATTTAAAAGATTAGTAAATTATAAAATGATATACAAATTAAGTAATGTAGTCTCAATTATTTTTTATATTTCAAATTTGTATTAAATTTACAGATTTAGAGGCAGATCATAAAGAGAAAACAGAATGAGCATGACTCTGGCTCTAATCTGTTATCAAGTCAAACAAAATAAATTTTTGAGGGGCTTAATAAAATGTGTATGATGCTTCATGCTCTATCATTATGTATAGGCCTTACCTAATTTTAGCCCTATGATTACAATTTACCCAACCAAAGTCCAGGGTGATAGTCGGCAACGAACCCCATTAATTGGTCTGGACCAGCTGTGGCTCAAGAAATTTGCTGAAAGTTTGTCCAACATGTCTGACAGGGAGTCCAAACAATGGGGTCGACTAGAGCCTCTGTCAGGATCCCAGGATAAAAATCGTTGGTAGGGTTCACAGGGAGAGTATTTTTATGGCTTATTAAGGCGACCTTGTTGTGGCACGGGACGACAGATGTCCCGGCTTGTCTTTCCACCCGCTGGCGCTCCAACTGATTTAGACTCATAGCAAAAAAAAAAATCCAAATGTCACAGTTACTTGAGAAACACAACCATTTTTGTGGCTTCATGATCAACCAATTAGTAGAATACCATAATAATAATAAATACCACTGGACTACCGCTCTGTTACATTAAGTTAAGAGTAGTTCTTTAGTAATTAACGTTTTTAATCAGCAGGTGTGTTTACTCAACCTGAGTCAACAAAAAGAAAATAACTGTGCCAATTAATCAACTATAGCAGAATTTATTTCAAATTAACCAATTAGAATCATATATTTATATTAATTTCAGTGTAAAGAATAATAATTATTTGGGACCCTTCAAGGTCTTTAACAAGGGCTACTGGGGATGGAGTGGAGAGCTGATGACTTTGCACCCTTAAAAACCTGTATTTGCATTGGGCTTTCTTTGTTTAACTTTCTTTTGAGACCTGGACTATGAAGAGCGACTTGAATGGTACTTGCACGTGCCAGATAGGGAGCTTTCGATTTGTGCAACGACGCGACGCTCACTCACTCATGAGTGAGCATCCTACATGGCGTCAAACTTTCTCTGCATGCGTAGAATTGGCTAAATTGCATTCCAGAATCTACTCGATGAAGTGACCTCATCGTACTCGCATGCGCAGATGACTTTTAATGACGTCACTACGTTCTACTTCCTCCTGTCGTCGTGCAATCGAAAGCTCAATACTAAGAGCCTCAGAACTTAAACTGCAGAAACCACCCTACTTGAGCCAAATATACAATGGAATCCCACCCATATCCACCACCCTTGCTGCAAGAGCCCATTCTGCTGGTCATTGTTTCCGTGCAAAAGACCAAGCGTGTATTCAACTCAAGGGCTTAGCCAGCATGCCGTCCGACCGTCTTTTGGACGGCTAACAATTATTTAGGATGGCCACTTTTACCATGACGGCTTGGCCTACTCAGCTCGGCTAGCCTAGTTGTGCCTGGTCTACCTTTAGCAAATTCTTTGTATTTCGAATCTATCAAATGTTGCATTAAAGTAAAGCATATTTTGGACAGCCTATTTCGTTTTTCTTGCTAAACCCCTGATTCAACCTACAGTGTATGGCGTATCCTAAAAAACGGACCTGGTAGCCACCCTCTTACCTACCCCGACACCATCACAAGGGATACCGGCCCACCACTTGAATACCTTGGCAACGAAATGTCAGACCCAAACAACTGGAGCATCAGAAGTACTCGGTTGCGGCCAAAGGGTAATTAAGGTAAGGTACTATAAGTACTGTGACTTTAGTTAATATTAACCCAATACCTCTAAATGTGAACAGTGAAGAAATCAGACTCACGTGTAGACGTTTCCCCATCCACCTGTTTTATCTTCTTCTTGAATTGTGAACCTCAGACGGCCATCACCCTTAGTGACCGTGTCTGCAGTTGCTGCCTTGTCCCAGTACAGCTCAATACTATGGTGGGTCACCTTCCCCACAACAGGGGGCTCAGGCCTAGGTGGTGCTGCAGAAATAATTCAAATGTACTGCTGATTATGGACAATAATGAAAGCTTGATCGTAAAAAAGATTTTATATCGTAGGCCTACATCATTTTTGTTGTAGGCATACACTTTACTTTAAGTAATACATACACTTTTACTATATACTACGCCAAAGATCAACCCCCTTGGGTTAATCCGCCTCTTTTTGAACTGACAATTTAATTGAATGCAGTCTCCCTTAATTTGATGAGAGGCCGGCCTCTATTTTAATACTTTTATATATTGGTATATTTTGTGTCTTAATGTTTTTGTATGTCAACTCATTTAGCCTTGCGTGCTCCCAGTTTTGGGACACTGTTCTGGGCTCTTTATTTGCTTCCTGTATTGTTTTTATGCAATAAAGTGATTTTATATATATATAAAGAAATATTAGGCATTGGCAGATTCTCAAGTTAGTAAAATGCATTTTTCAGTAACCAAGTCTTCAAATATCCCTATGTAAATACAAAATTTCCGTAGCAGCACCTAATAATTTGTGTGCAAAATATGGGTTGCTTAAATTACAGGTACCGGTACAAGATAATAACAGTTGTTTATCAGTAATCTGACAAGTATGAATGGTCTAGGGACAATGTAACCAAAGTTGATGGAAAAGTCATTTGTTTTAGACTTTAGACCTACTTATTTATGGGTCTACACCTATGATAAATTCCTATAGTATTTTTGTCTATTTCCGTACGACAATAATTAGGTAAAATTTCCGTAGCAAATATGGACGTTCCATAGTACTTGAGACATCTGTATTATTGTATGTCTGCCAAAATACTATAATAATTAATGTTGGTTATTTTTTCAGCCGTACAGGTAATGCATACCAATTGATCTATAGTAAATAATTTATTCTGAGTAAAGCCACATTTACACTAGACACGATTACGACACAACAACAACGCGATACAGATGTGCGCAGTGTTGAAGAATACAAACTACGCGATGATATGTCATCGTCGTATCGTAATCGTGTCTAGTGTAAATGTGGCTTAAAAAAGATTTTAGGTCAAGGCCTAATTTTTGGCAAAATATGCATGGAAATTGGCCATACTGTAAAGTTTTTTAACTGCGCAGATGATACCTAAAAAATCAGCTCAAATTAGGAAAATAGGTGCATGGAATTGTAATTGCTGCATAATTAATACATAATATTTGGTTAAACTTAAAGCCTAATTTTCAGCCAATGCGTGGAAAAATCGGCTTTTATTTTCTGAAATGTGAGGACGGATTCCTAGGCCAGACTTTTGCGCGGAGGATATATTCCTAGCGCAGGTCTTACTATACAGTCTCTACAGTCTAGGTCCCTAGGCTATATATTATATATAGCCTATCTAGCCAGATGTAGCTCAAGTCAATATTATTATTGATTATATTTTATATTCACCTATCCCAGGGCCTAGCCTAGCTATTGACTGTATTGTAGCTAATACTTCATAGGCCTAGGCTAAGCCTACCTAGGCCTAGGTTTGAGCCTAGTAGAGGAGGTCTATGGTAGGCTAGGCTAGGGGTAGGGCCTAGCCTAGGCCCTAAACTAGCCTAACATTAAGAAAATTACGAGGCTGAAGTTTAAGGTTAGAATTGTTAGAGTAGAATACGAAAAATATCTGAAGTACATTAGCGCCGAAGTGATCCATGAAAATGGATCGGGGTGAACGTGCCTGCCTAGGCCTAGCTAGGCCTTTTCTCCTATTGTTCAGCCAGGCTAGGTAGGCGGGCTTAACACAGACTAGGCCTGCATAGTACAGTGATACACATCGTCATGGCTAGCGTTTAGCTCTTGCCTGGGGCTTGGTTGGTCAAGAGAAATAATAATGACAATCATAACATTTCAGAAAATCGAAGTTAAATGTATAGGATATAACTTACCCGACATGCGTTAACCAAAATCTGTAGAATATCTAGTGCTGAAAAAGTGAGTTACTCTCGAACAGTAAAGTAGGACAATTCGCTATCCAGCACCGTGGTAACCGCGTCCAGCGATGAATGACATCTCATCCCACTCAAAACAGGGAACCACCACCACACACTGAGTACCATTCTTCGAGGTCATGAATATTAAGCATGGATGTTTGAATATTCAGCACTTTTAATTGTTTGGCGGGATATTTGATAAAAATACTGGATTCATTCATTTTATTTCATTCAAAAAAGTATATTGTGTTGAGCTAAATAACATTAATAAATTAAAGTATGACATATTATTAAATCTTTTCACCTCCCAATTCGAGACTGTTCTACCTACCTTGGTCTACTTTGATACCAAGACTTCTGAAGCCGAAGCTTGTCCCTCAATTGTACATATGGGGAAAAGGCTTCAGCGGGTGACGACGCCATGCTTTTCCAAACGGGATTTAAATTGATTTAACGTTTCTGCCTCAATCACATGACTTGGTAAATTATTCCAGATGTTGCACACAGCATTTGTAAAAAAATTTCTGACGCATCCTCAAATTTGAACGAGGTATAGAATAGGCCTAATAATTTTTAATTTATCTCCTCTAGTTATATGATCGTTAAAAAGATATTAGAAAGTAACGGACCCAGGACGCTGCCCTGAGGAATAGGCCTACCACTGTAACCAACTGAGTTTCTATTTAGTTTCATTGTTGGGACAGTTGGGACCTACACTCAGTTTGGATGGTCTCTCTCAGAACAATTAAGGTCTCACTCAGGGTTAGGTCTCGCGTTCCCAAAAATAAACTAAATGGAGACTAAATCTGGATCTAAACAGAATTTTGAGAATAATTGAATCAAACTAGTGGTGGAGATGTATAGCCAGTGTTGCTTGCCTTCCAACCCAGTGTCATGGGTTTAAACTCCGTGACAGCACAGGATTTCCCCACCCCTAACAAACGTCTCCACTCCCTCGTAATGATAGGCCTAAATAAAGCATCACATTATTTTGTTTATTTAAGAGAGCTACCCGACTTTTAGGACACGCCGGAAGAGTTCCTTCTATGGTTTAAGTTTAAAAAAAAAGAAAGAAAAGGATCACCTGCATGTAGGCCTAATAACCAATTCAGTATGAATCTCATATAAATTACACTTAATTATATACGGTAAACAATCGTATTTGATCATTTTGCCTTTATTATTCAGATTCTACATGACTCTTTTTATCTTGTCAACCTTCTATATAGGCCTAATATCAATGGTCCAATTATTTTATCCTTATAAAGAGCTCAGTGTATTAGAGTTTTGTAAGAGTTACGGTACTCGCGCGAAGGCGCCCATTTGAATAACCGCCCCTCTTGAATAAGCACCCCTCCTAACGTGAAAATTCCCTTAAGCGCCCCGTTTGATTAAGCACCCCCTCAATAATATCATAAGATTTTCTTTTTAGCAAGTCAATTATCCAATCAATCATGGGACTGTGGTTTTGGCATGATTTGAGCTGCAGAGTGGAATCACATTCTTTTTAGGTCAATATCAAAATGAGGATAACATTTCTGGACAGATGCGAGCTCTGATTCCTGGACAGACAGTATATTTCATCTTCTTACATACGGTATTTGTCTAGGCCTAGTCCAACTCCTCTTTTTCTTTTTCCGACAATTTGCACCTTTAACACATTCCCATCTCATTTCAAGAAAATCTGCAATAATCTTGCCATCCTACTTAACTCAATCGGCCGATGGCCAACAAGCTAACCACTCCAGGTAGGAACAGCAGAATAGCAGATGCAATTAGTGGTGGTGACCACCACTAATTGCATCTGCTATTCTGCTGTTACGTAAATATTCACAACAATTGTCATGAGCCTGTTCTCTGGACATTTATGTTTTCCGCCGCACCACCATTCGTAATGTCCTTATAACCTGTTTTCATTCAAAAAGTCCCTGTATTTAATAAGTTCCCATTAAAGAACCCTCGATTTTCACTCTGTTTTCATAAGCGCCCCTTTTAAATAAGCGGGCACGGTAATTCTAGAAGATTCTATTAAACCAGAATGCAGTTACATTACCTAACAGCAATTCATATGAAATTGAGTCATATTCCTATAACGATCTTAAGTAAAATTGATAGAATCCGATAAGATTTATTCGAGTTATCTCAGCCAATCTCATTATAAGCATATGGCTTATTCTATCTATCATTCATTAAAAGAATTATAGAGATTCACATCCACGCCAGTAAGTAAATAAATTTGAAAGATTTTCTATTCCAGTTATCTTCCAATTCTTATTATCTTATTGTAAATATAATCCATTGAAAATACACAATTAACACTACATATTTCTACCGAGTACTACAGAAATTATATTAATTTGAATAAGACCCTATAGGCATGGTGACTGTTCCCTGCTATAGGATATCTTTCTAATGAATTGTTAAGCCTATATTTTAAGTCTCCCTACATACATGAGATTTGGAGCATGAAAGTCTACAAGGCCGCGCTTCAAAATGCAAAAAAAAAAAAAAAAAACAATCCAAGACTTGTGTATGGCCCTCTATCGGCCTCAACTCTGCTAGTTATCAAACCATCAGTGTTCTATTCAAAAGAATCTTCTCTGAATAATAAATATATTGATGACTTTATATCCATAGGCGCTCATTAATACCGCTGCAGACAAGAATCCTACGATTGTTATTAGTACTGTGTATACGATTAAAAAATAAGAACCTTTTTGAAGAGCTGCCAACCTTAACTACTGACCAATCAGAAAAGGCCAGTGCACGCACGCCCATATACGAAGAAAAATAATATAACACGTACCGGTATAATAATACAGTGACTAAATAAAATCCCTAATACGTTTGTTAATCTTTTAAAATTGTCATTTTTGTGCTACAATGTGAAGAGGCTGTTGGAGTGCTCTTAGGCCTATTATATATTTGGATTGTGTGGGTGAGGGATGGAAGATTAAGAGTCAATGTCGGCATGATCAACCTCTTATTGCCAGCAAATTTAATGTTAAAAATAATGATTTAGACTCGAGTAATTAGTTTTATCAAGTTGCATAATATTACTATGACAATGATCTGTCTCAAAAATGCATTTTTTTTTTTAATATAAAGTTTTGCTGTAACTTAATGTAAGAGTGTTTAAGTACCCATCCCCCGTGTGATTCACACTCCAGTGACGTGTGCATAATCATCTATTAATTCCAAAGCTTTTACCAATGATTAGTTACGATAGTTTTCTCATGGTTCCAGAGAAAAAAGTCGAACAGCATTGCATATTTGGAAATATGCGTGTAAAATAATGATGACTAATATGTAATACGAAGTCTAGGTGCCTAGGCTAACAAAGCAACGAAAGTACAGTACATCGCAATATCGCTGGAAGGCAAGTGACGTAAGCTCCCCAGGCAAAAAGTGCAGGAGCTGAGTCGGGAAACGGTGAATGTTATTCAATTGGCGGTAATTAATATCAGAAGAAAGCATTGTTACAACAACATTCGGCAGCCGTGCAAATGGGAATGGCGGGCGTCGCAAATTGCCTTTGTCATAATAAGAATGATTCTAGAGATTGTGAAATCAATAATTCACATAAGGCTCCTGTAAATGAATCATGTGGATTTGGATAGAGATTTTTACGTAGATTACGTTTTCCTTACCCTTCATTGAAAAGCACGCAATCACAGCTTAGCAGCTCACACCCAACCCACACTGCCGAGGACTTTAGTCGGATGTAGCGGGTAGCGTCCCGACAAGTTTATTATTTCTTTATCAAGTTGGGCGACTTAGAATTCGTTCGTTTTAAACATTATTCCATTCGGTGAATGTACACTTTCAATCGTTCCGAAAAAAAAATGGCAGTAAACTTCACTGGAAAATATAAGCTTTGTAAAAGTGACAACTTCGAAGAGTATATGCTGAAGATGGGTGTTAGTGAGAACGTCCGAAAAACGGCCGTGATAATGTCTCCAACGTGTGACATTCAACAATTTGGCGACAACTTCGTAATTAGAATGAATGTGCCGGTGCTGGGAGTCCATGAGCAGAAGTTCTCTGTTGGAAAACCTTTTAATGATATTTCACCAACTTGCGAGAAAAGAGTTGTAATCGTGAGATGGATGGGTGACAAGTTGGTATTCGAAGACGTCGATGAAAATGAGAATAAACCTCATCGTGTCATAAGAGAACTTATGGATAGCGGTGATATGATTGTGAAATGCATAAAGGATGAGGTTGTTTGTACGCGTATTTTTAAAAGAATTTGAAATAAAGAGGAAGCATTGGTACGTCTTTATAAAATCGTAAAGCACAGCTATAAACAACTTAATGATATTGCGCGGTGACATTCAAATTGTTTTGTTCAAAAATAGACTTTAAAAATTTACGCGCTTACAGAACATTGGCTTGTTAGACTATTGGTTATCAATTTTATCTGAATAGAAAGAGAGAAAACAATTTACTGAAAGTTTTGAAAAAACCCACTTCATTTTTATTTGCAAGGCTATACCGTATAACGTTACTTCAACAAACATCTGAAGACTAATTGGTGAAACTAGAAATTCGTATACAAAAGAAACAAACACAATAATAACAGGATGAAATTAATAACGGGAATTGGAAGAAAAACAATTAAATTCGTTGTCATTTAAAAATACCAATATTTTGACACAATGTATTTCGTGACTGAGCAATCTATTGTACATGTATTTACACGCACATTAGTAAGCAATATCTCTTTTTGGTTTGTAACAATTAACGTTGCTTTGGCCTTCGTATCAAACTAATATTCGATTCGCCATTATTTGAGAAAAGAAACAATATATAGTATTATATATTTATTTCTGGGCGTGAGATGACGATTGAAAACTGTTATGATTTGAGAATACACTGGAATTTCAAATTATAAATTTTCAGATCAGAGATACGTCTTTATCTCCTCGTTAATAATATGCATGATGTGGAAACCAAATTGGTCGGTTTTATGGATCTTATCTCTCAACAACGTTAATTTACCTGGCGTCATCGCACTTCTAGCTCCGCATTATCGTTCTAATATCGCCTCCAACGTCCTTAAAACGTGACGCGTTTCGAATTTTGTTTCATCCTCGTTATAGCTTGGCCTAGTTGAAATAGTTGAACAGGAAATGAATGTAGGGTGGTAATGTCGACAATATTAACCAACAATATTGCTAATGGCAAAATCCCAAGTAATTTGACCTGGACGAAAAATAGGCCTACCATGAATCGGAAATTTCCATTTATGTAGTTAACATATTGATACATCTTTTGGCTTTTATATAAAAAATGACTATTTCTTCGAAAATTGCTACGCACTTTCTGCACTTTTAATAACAAATAACTGTCTCAGTTTTGACATACGCATCTTCTCTACTTTTCCCCTTCAAAATAAAGTAAATTTTCATTATGTAAATATGTGGTCTGGTAATTGAATTAAACATTACTGTATTGTATATTTTTTGCTTATAAGGAAACCAATTTTCACGACTCTTTGAAAACATATAGGTCTGTTGTTAACCCAAATGTGGTTATTAATACTAATTATTGAATTTTAATTGCAAAGCAAACTATCTTCGTAATCGTTTTCTGTTAGTTACTGTAATTTATGGTGAATAAATAACAATGCTATATATCCTGATTCGTGTATTTGCTCTAATTGCAAATCGTATCTTTTAAAGATAAGAGATTCTGTGAAATCTGATTGGTCTAAATGGACCTTTCTGAAGTGTCAATCAAACATAACATCTGACCAATCAGAACTTATTAATAGCCAGGAATACGCACCAACAAACCCACATCGTTTTGTGGGACCTTAGCAACGATATCCAAGGGGCGAGGCTTAGCAGGAAGTGTCCATTACTGACATATTTTAGATGTGAAAGCACAAATGTTTTATATTATTATATTGCTTGCTAATTTGAATAATCTATATAATTATCCTCCATATTAATCAGATGGTGAATAGTTGATTCAATTATTTATATATCTATTAATCCATTGATTGATTGATATGTTGATTGATAATAACTTTCCCAGAAACCACAGGCAACCATAAATAAACTACAAATAACTAATAACTTTATGAAATAAATTTTTTTTTTAAATTACTTTAAAACTGAAGAAATTTTACTACAAATGATATGTACAGGTATATTATAAATTTCTCTTAGGACCAAATGGAAATAGGTTTACAGAATAAACAATCGACAACAACACTTTAAAACTTACATATTTTATTCTACGAGTTTCATCACCAACATCTTCAAGTGATTTGTATTATAAATATACAAAAAGGGGAATTGTTACCCCTTTACTGTAAAATTATCGGTAGTTTAGCTATCACAATTTGGGAAGTTAATATATTGATAATTTTATGACAAAAACTTTTTTATTCTCTAAACCATTTATTCACATAGTTATTATATCCAAATGGAAACATTACTTCCAAATTCAATTTCAAGACATTTATACAGTGAACCGTGTTCTTAAATTAAAACTAAATACAATTATATTTAATAATAATAATAATAATAATGTTACTAAAACCTACCTCATGGGGAACTTAGACAATGGAGAAATTAGAAAACAATTAAAAAATCGATGTTAAGGGGAAAATAACATGACGATAAATAACACAAAATATATTCCCCTTAAGTCTGATTTAGAGCCATAATTATAATAATAATAATAATAATAATAATAATAATAATAATAATAATAACAATAATAAATATGCCATCATCATACTGATGGAAAAGTCACATAAAACTCAATATAAGTGGGAGGGAGGTTGGCACAGCGATTGCATTTAAAGTTCTCATTTTTCAGGTCAGGGGTTAGAACACCTAGCACTGGTAGCAGTACATTTCACTTGCATCGAGCCACTTTTACTACATTTCGTCGCTCACATCACAAACTAACACAATTAAATTCAATTGTGTTAGTTCGTGAAATAAAAAAAAGCGCGTCAAAATACGCACTGTTGTCGTTAAGGACTTTTTGTGTGGTAAAGAATACAAAATTGCTTGACAACCAATACGCGCTCGTTTTGACGCGCTACTGTGATTTCACGAACTAACACAATCTACTTTGATTGTGTTAGTTCGTGATGTGAGTGACGATTTGTCTCTCTCCAGCTAGGAGTATAATTGGGCGCCTGGTAGGATGTTTCGGCAATGAGCGTATCAGTCTGTGCGCACTGCAGTATGACTAGGCAAGGCATACTCCCCAGGAAATGACGGATTCAATAACCAGATCTAAAATTAACATCACATGACATTTCACAATCCATTCTTTCTGCATCTTCATTATCAACATATAAGACCTTTCCGG